AGTACAGTCTATCATCTTTGGTAAATAAACCAGGTTGGAAATGGAAAAATTTGCCCAACCTGCACAACAATCCATATGTGTCCTGGCTGGAAGTAGGGACAGACCTCCTCAGAGGCTTTGTCTCACATTTTTCTGTATCTCCAGCTGTTACAGTTGTATTTTCACAGACTTTTCTCTGTCATCCATGGGAAGACAGATGGGCATATCTTTATAGGCCCAGTCCAAGCAAAATTCTTTATGATCTCCACGGGAGCAGGAGCAGTTTCCAAGCCTTCCTCAGGCTTTGCTGCTTCATCTCATCTAGGAGGCAGGCAGAAATGAGGGCTCCATCTAAACTCACTTGAGGGCTGTGGCAATTTTAGCAATGGCTTTAATTAGCTATGGATGAGCCTTTCTGTGTCAGATCTCATCCTAGAGAAGTCACATGGGGAGGAATTCTAGCATTATTAATTGCAGCACCTCAAGGCTTTGACCCTACAGCAGGTGCCAGTGACAGGCTGTTGAGTCTGTTTAAATGTTCTTCATTACAGCCCTGAGCCCACCTATAGCTGTGTTTGAGGATCTGATTTCCTCAGAAAAGTGCCATGAAGTTCTAGGCACCGCATATTTGTACTATATGGGATGTGCACCTTGTCCACAGATCCTATGTCCTTCAGGATCAAACTGACACATCAACTCAGAGATCTTGGTGCCTGTTTACCTGTGCCAGGGCCAGGGGTACAGTTTGTGTTATTAGCACGATATAAAATTACTACAATGACATGAGAAGGCAAACACAACCTATGGCACGTAAGAACTGCAAGATTAGGGCAGAAGGTGTCCAGAAACCCACAATCCAAGCATATCTATGATTTTCTGACCTAATCTTGTGAGACCTCTAGATTCTAGAGGTCAATACCCAATTTTATCTGAGGATGAACTTGCTTAGTGTCTTCTATCTGCAAATTTCAAACTGTGCCAGCAAGGAAGTTATGGTTATTTTTTCTGTTCTACTTGAGCAAAAGAGCAGAACCTGAGGCAAAATGACTTATTTCAGGTTGCTGAGTGAGCCAGTAGTGGAGGCAATATGAGAAGCTGGGTCTTAAGAGTCCTAGCAGAGGAAGCACAGAACAGCTTTTTAGAGGCCAGACTACAGGCAGGGATAAAATCAGTCTCTGAAGGAGCGATCAAATGAAACTCTGCAGTTGGAGGGTAAATTAAATCCCCCTTCTTTTCTGCAGTCTGGGGAATGAGCATGTTTTGGATCCAACTGTGCGACATTAATCACAATATGGAATATTTGAGCCAAAGGTCAGCCACAGGGGGCCAACTATTAACATATGGGATTTATCTGTCTCCTTCTTCCATAAAGATGCAGCATGCTGGATAATTAAACTTCTGAGTGCCAGCGTGGAGTGCAGTGTGTTTTTTTCCACTGCTCTTCATGATTCTATCCAGAACCATTTCCTTTCACTGTATGCTCAGAAGGGAGGAAACAAAGGTGGCATCCTGATCTTCATTATTAATACACAGGAAAACTTGGAGGAAATCCCTTTTATGCCCCTGGCTTTGTGTAAAGAAAACTCTGCAAGCTCCAAAGTCATATTGTTCAGCTCCTATATATACATTCATATATCTATGTGCATAGCAGATGTTTCTTCAGATACTTAACTGATGTTTCTGCAGAATTATGGTATGGAAAAACCTTCATAACAACCTGCATTACAGTTGATTTACTTCTATTAAATTAAAAACGTAGAAAAAAATAACATTTAAGGTGGCTACAGGGGAATAAAGAAAAAACACATTCTCCTGTGATTCATGCGAGTGCCTCACTATATTATATGGAATAAAAATCCTGATGTACAGGCAGCGCTCGATGGGAGCAGGCAACCGGGAGGCATTTGTCCACTTTGGGTAAAGGAATTACAAAAAGCTAAAGAAATTCTGAGGAAGGCATCTACCTGAAGCTGGTCAGGTGCTGCCTCGTTTAACCAGCAGAAGCACCTCCAGAAGAAATGAATCCAGTTCTAATACAGACACCCGAAGAAGGAAGCACAAGTCTCTCTCTGGAGGTACCTACCTCTTCCCTCAGCTCACATGACCTGCTTGGGTGAGATGTCTGCTTTCAAACAGCTAAAATTAAGCAAGGGGAATCCCACAGCAGCTGACTCCACTTTGTTTCTGCCACAGTAAAGTTGTTATTACTATTATTTAGGGTTATAATGTGGTAACACTCAAAGGCCAGGTATGGTGCAGGCATGAAGTAAAATGTAATTCCCTGCCTCACAAAGAGGACAACTCAAATAATTAAAGGATGATTTTGCTTTTATTTCTGCAGTTTGACTAAAAAGAAATGCAAAAAGCAATATGCAATTAAAGTACATAATGCTTGATTCATGGGATACCAAAATGCCAAACTACATACCACATATGTCCCGTGACACTTATACAATAGAATGACTGTGCAGTTTTGGCTGCAATGTTAATAAAAAGGGGATTTATCATGTTAAGTATTTCCAGTGCATCACTCTGTCTCAGAGTGGTTCCAAAGTGCAGCCAGTTTATTATTTTTTCTTTTTTTTTGGATTCCAATACACTGTTTTTCATTTAAAATAAACTGGTAATATCTTACATTTATATATTGCTTTTCATCTAGAAGGATCCCTGAGGCCCTCTCGAGCACTTTCTGGAGTTTCACTACCCACAGTGTTGGGGGAGAGAAGGCTTGTCCTGAATAAAATGCAGTTGTGGCCAAATTTCTTCATCACATGAGCCACACACTGTAATTTTCATGTGGTCAAAAGGCAAGAGACACATATGATGTGCCTTAAAGGAGAAATAAGAAAGCCAGAAACTGGAGTGGCTCACAGATGGGAGACAATACTGACTCCTCATACGACCCTGTTCCTCATTCACGGGCTGGAGCTGAGCTGGACTGACTCAGGGGTTTGGGCTACCAGGCAGCTCTGGCACCAAAACCAGGCAATGTGATGACTCAAGATATCCCTTCAATTGCTTGTGAGATGTTTGATTCAGAGCTATCACTTGACCACTGTCTTGTGTGAGGCATTGAGTGAGGAATTAAGACACCAGAAATAGCAGGTTCATATCAGCCATTGCTGGTCCTCAGGTGTGTTCTTGGTGAGTCCTTCAACTTTCTGCTCCTCCCACATCTTTTCCTTTCTCGGTTATGTCCAGCAGTACTTTTCAAGTCTGGATAGAGCCATGGGAGCTTACGGGTTGCGCAGCATTTCACAGAGCACAAGATAATAGTCTGTGTGTGGAGGGACTTTACTAAATCTGCACCTGCCAACAATGCCACGTACTACATACCTGAACTGAATGTAACATCGGCACAAAGTAGTTACATCCGTGAAAAACACTTGTGCTCTCTTGACAAACCATGGCAAGGTATCCAGAATTTTTTTCTAATTTTGCTTAAAGCAAAATGTTACATTCCGTTTAAAGGTGTGGATGTGCAGGATCTGCAGGGAATATCATACATATCACAGCAGAATAACTGTCCGAGCAGAGGAAGGGCTGGGAAACACTGATGTAAAGTGTCAGGTTTCGGAGCAGGGAGAACTGCCTGTGAAGTGTCTAAGTAAGGGAGATAAAAACTCGATCAGGGCTACAGAGTGTCTTTAGAATAGACATGGTTAATGCTTGCATACAGAAATTATATGGAGAGGTCTGTAAGGTCAAGAATGCAAAAGATAGGGAAATCTAGCATTCCGCTGGCCTTGCAGTTCATTTTATTTCATTGCTGTTTACAATCCCCTAGTCATACATCATTTCCCCCTCCCATGCCTCAGACTGAGGGCTGTTCACAGAACAGGGAACTAATCAATATTTATACTGCCTCATTCGTCTAGGCACATCATTTTACCACATTTATTAAAAAAAAAATAATCAATTTTTATGAGGTTTCTCTCCATACGGTATCCATGAGCACCACATACAGAGCAACTATATCTCACAACACTCCTGTAAAGGAAAAGGCACTGAGAAATGAAGCTGCCCGTTGTCTGGGCTTACACTGTGAACATGGACAACCCAGTTTGGGGGCTGTGGGTTATTTAGGATAAATTCGGTGGAAACAGCACCATCTACTGAGCACCCAACAACCTTCTTGCTGGGACTTTTGGGGCTGGGGTTTTTGGAGGGGAAGGGTCTGCCTGTGCAGCCCCAGGGATGCTGAACGCTCAGCTCCTCAAGTTACTGAGCTCCTGAGATCAGGCTGAAGCTTTCCATCGCTGAGATGACTCCAGTTGCTATGCTGTGATTCAAGTCATCTGCTTTGAAGAAACATGAAAGAATCCTAATGATAAATATACAAAAGAAATCTAGTTAATTCCAGCATGGAGCCCAGTGTATAAACACACATTTCATCCCCAAAATCTGTCTTTGTTTGGGCTCACTCCCAAAGCCTGTGCACGCTATTCTGTGTTCCAGGCTCTCTCTCATGTCCCCATCGTGTAGTAACTCATTAGGAGACTAGATTTTGGGTACACTGAGGCATGTTTTTGCTGGCTGGCCGTGACCTCTTGGCCTCTTAGTTGCATGGGGACCCTGATTCTTATAGAATGACCGGTGGGAATATCCACACGGACAGGGCTCCGAGACACGGGAAGGGGGAAAAGAACCACTCAGGGAAAGTTAAGGGCAGGCACAGCTAGGAGATGATTCTCTTCCATGAGGAAGGAGGAGTGTCTCCAGCAGGTGAGCGGGGCCGCTCCGCGGACCTGCGGCCTCAGCAGGACTTTGTGGACCGCCCGTGAGTCCGGTCTCTCACAGTGCCCCACGCGTGCTGTCCCTCCCGGGGAGCGGCGCCTCACGGGATCCCCGCCGCCCCACACACACCGATTTCCCCCCGTTTCCCTCCGGGTTTCCCCCCAGCCATCCGCGCCACCGCGGATTTCTCCACGCCTGACAACAAAGGAGGCGGCGGGGCGGCCTCGGCGGTGACTCAGCGCCGGTCCCGCCCCCGGCCCGCCCCGCCGCTCCCCTCAGGCGCGGCCGGGCCGGCTCCGCGCGTGTGGCGGGGCCGGGCGGACACTCCGTCGGGCATCGAGCGGGTGGCTGCCGCTTCTCTCCTTCTTTCTCTCCCTCCCTCCTCGGCTCCCCCTGCCCTCGACCCCCGCGCTGCCGGGCGGGCAGAGCCGCCCCGCCGAGGTAGGTTCTGTGTCTGCTCCGCACACAAAGGCGCTGGCGCGGAGCGACGGGACAGCCCAGCCCGGGGGAGGCTGAGGGACGGCGGCTCCCGGGGAGGGGAGCGGGGGGGTCCCGGGGGGCACCCCCGGGCCGTGGGGGTCCCGTGGCAGAGCCACGTCTCTTCGCCTTCAGTCGCGAAGGGAAACACGAGGAGTTCATCGCTGCTCTGCATAAAGCGAAGGGGGAGCAAGCAGAAGGGTGTGCGGGGCACCGGGGGTGCTGCCGGTCCCGCCGCCCCCCGCCGGTGTCCCCGGTTCTGCGAGGCCGTGGAGCCCGTGGGTGTTTCAGCTTCTCCGTGGGGCAGCTTTGATTCTCTGGTGACTCTTGCAGCAGTGGGAGCATTCCCACAGCCCGGCCGGGTCTGTGGGTGCGGGCTGGTGGGGCCGGGGGAGTGTGGTGGTGGATGGAAAGAAAAGGTAAGGCGGATAAGTGTTATACATGTTTTGTTTCCTATAAGTGCTGCCCTGTGAAATGAGTATTCAGAGCAGCTGAACTTCTGGTGTGGGCAGTGGATGTTTCCTTACAAATCTTTAGAACAAGTAGAAGCTTGGAGCGGGGCAAGTCCCGAGGACCTGCTCTTTCCTGTGCTCCCACCGCTCCAACCTGGATCTGTCAAAGTTTCCCTCAAGGACCAGGAGAGTCCAAATATCCAGGTTTTCCTGTGCATTGGGGTGAAAGGCTGCACAGCTGGCCAGGATAACTGCGTGGATAAACGTGTTTTGGTGGTGCACAAGGGGAAACGGTGCAGCGCAGGAGCTCTGTGTGACTGAACTACTTGTTTGCTTCGGCCATTGGATTTTTTTTCATAGCTTAATGAGTTCTGGCATAAATCAATACTGTTTGAGTGCGGTGTACAGCTGTGGCTGGCGTTGGAGCAGAGTCTGTAAGTCCAGGGCATGCTTGTGGCAAACTCAAGAGAGAGGCAGGAACATGCGAACTTTTGGGGTTTTGTGTCACACAAAAATGCAACAAAAGGAGGAAAAGATGCTTCTGTGTGAGCATAGTGTGGTCGCTGTGTATAGTTTGTGGTGGGAGTATTGTTGAATAACTCTGGCAGCAGAGCTGCTATGCCTTTGTGGTACTCCTATGTGTGTGCTAAGTCCTGTAGTACCAGTCAGGATATTCAACTTTCATAGACTTAGCAAGAGAAGTAGGAGGCTGGAAGAACATTGCTGAAAATGAGAATGATTGCTTGTGGATCTGGTAGGCAATTTGAGAGGCATTTAAACTGTCTTTAATTTCCCTGTGATATGAGCAGGACACTGAGAATCTGTTGCTTTACTGATGGCTGTTTTCCTAGCAATATATGGACAGACAGCATGTACTATGAATGCGATGGCTGCTTGCTTGTTGTCAGCAATATTTGCTCAGGGACAATAAACAATTCTTTGCTGAGCTTTATTATAAAGAACCACAAATGCCCCATATCTCCTGAAACAAAGCCTTTATTGTCTTAATGCAACTGTGGGCCAATTTCATGCTTGGTATAGTTCCACTGATGTTGGTGGAATTTTGCCAGGGATGATTTTGGCAGGTGAAGTGTCACTTCTGTGTCCATAATGCTCAAGAGTAATGCTGCTGTATTGTCTTCAGCACTTGAATATTGTTAATTAAAATGGTATGCTTATGCTTCCCAAAAGTTAGAGGTGGGAGAGTCATCTCATCAGGTCCTCACAATAATTTCCCACTTGCTTTCTCCTTTCTGCTTCAGATCTCATATCCCTTAATTTACTCTCTTCCTTCTTTTTTTCAGTCTTAGCATCTTTTTTCTCTCTTCAAAATTAAGAAGCTTCTCTGAACTTCAGTTCACCCTCGAGCATTTAGAGGTTTTGAGGCAGCCGGTGTTGAACCCTGCACCACCCCTGCACGACTGGGTAAGTGAGGAGCTGTGTGGCAGCTGCAGTTGGGAGATCCTTTTTGCACATGCTCTCCTTTACAGGCTGATTTGTGTGGTGGCTCTGGTCGTGCATTTGCTGAAGTGGCAGATTGTTTGTCAGAGTCACGAAGTGGAACAGCCTGGCTTGAGAGCGACTGATAGGCCAGGCTGGGGGTGGGGAAGTCACTCGGTTTTTACATATAGCCACTACTCAAGATGTTGAGAAGCGGCTGGTTTTGAGAACGTTCCTCCTTGGCATCAGTAAGGACAGGGAAACCACCTAAAAATTGGAGCAGAAGGAAAAATGGGGAAAGATGGAAGGAAATATTCATGTTTACTAGCTGTGGGAAGAAGAGTGGAACTGTTTAACCAGTAATTGGCTCTAACAGAACCTTGGCTCCATCAAAGTTTAAAAAAAAATAAAAAGATTTCACTGAATAAAACTATGTTATCTTTGTACGTGGTTAACAGTATTAAATACATGTGGCCAACTCTTAGTCTGTTCTGGGGCTGTGGTAGTTGTTAACAGACCAAATTTCAATGCTCAGCTTGTGCTGAGCAGTTTTGTATCTGATGTCTCTGCGCTGAACAACTTTGTATCTATTTGCATCTCATAAGGACACAAAAAGAGCATGTCAGACACAACTCACGGCTGATGCCGTTCTGGCACAGAATCAAAGAGCAAAATTCATACACCGTCTCACCGTGGAGGGGAAGAAAATGTTCTTAGTGCTTCTTCAATCCAGTGATTAGTCTGAAGTTTGTTCTGGTTTGACCAGACCTGGCATGTGTTTGAGTATCAGTGGAAGTATGGTTTGCAGCTAACATGATGTTGCCAAGAGCCTGCAGCTCTTCTGTGTTTACTTGAAAAGCTTGTAAGTTGGGGTTTTGATGTTTTGTTTTGACATAAGACAGTGGAAGGGTTCAGCTGTGGAAAGGGAATTGGTCACATGCTAACCTGAACATAAAGCTGCAAATTTGTTAGGAAAAACATATCATATCTTTAGGAGAAATGTAAATTCTGTGGCTACAACTAGATTTCTTGGTGATACTTCCTTCCCCTTCCAACGTCTTGCATGCTCTTCCCAAGCTTATCTCTAAGCGGGCTTCATTTATATTAATCTTCTAAAATCATGCTGAAGTGGAAAGGTGCCCTGTCTTCCCGCTGTGGGGAAGACACCTTCCCTTTGCAGACGGGAATTAAAAGCACAAACAAGTAAATGGGTCATCTGTGACCCCACAAACTGGGTAGTGGTGCAAAAACTTGAACTCGTATCTCCTGAGCCACTGGCTAGTGTTGAAATGAAAGTTCTTCCCCCCTGCAAGAAGGAGTAGGAGAAGAGAAGAGGCACGGTATGAAAATCACTTGGGTTATCTGGCTGTGATGCAACCAGTGGTTGACTGCTCTTCCACCACCCCCATGCACGTAGGTATTTTTTAGACTGTGCAAAACAGAAGGCTTGTGTAATGATAAATGCTTAAACAAAGACATTTGGCATACACAGGAGAGGAAAAAAAAAGGGACATTTTTATTCTCCTTTCTATACCTGCCTTCAAATAGAGGGTTCTGTTTTTACAGATGAGTCTCTGGCTGTATCTTTGGGGGGGTCCTTCATCTGTCTCATTGTACAGTTGTGTGGAGCTGTGTCAGGTGCCAGCAGAAGGGCAGAGAAGGCTTTGCAGAGCCAAGAGGGTCATGGCAAGACCAGGGCTGCCTTTCTGTGACCACACCAGATGGGTGAGGTGATGAGAGTGCAGATCCCCACCCTGAGAGACCAGTCTTGTGGTTTCTAAAGGGGTGGCTGCTGTTCCCTGTGCTATGCACAGGCACTCACGTAGCTGCTGTTCTCACGTGGCTGCTCTTCTGCTTCAGGGTGTTGGTGTGAAGGGCTGTGGGTGTTGCATGACAGTGGGGAGCTGCGTGCGGCAGCTCTGCTGTGGCAGAAATGTTGCAGGGGTTACATGAGCAGGGGGCATTGGTGTCTGCAAGAAAAGGAAGGATGTGGTCTTTTCTTACTCTTTCTATACAGTTTGAAGCACTGGAGGGTACCTGCTACCTCTGTGTTTTGTCACTCTGAGAAAAGTTTGAAGTAATGCTTTCCCTTACAGCGCTGTGCTTGGTGCTTGACGGTTATCATTGCGAAATCTGTCATAGTTGTTACTTTGGTTTCAAAACATGTTTTGAGCTGACAGACTACTTCTTGTGTTTAGGCTAGTGCTGTAAGTTTTGTGTACTGAAGGGTAGGAAATTCACAGGTGGGAGAACAGCGTTTCCAAGTTGTGTCTATAAAAGAACAAGTCACAAAGACTTTGGAGCAGTTGTGTAAAGTGCTTTGTCTGCCGGTCAGTGTCATATATTAAAATAACTCTTGAAATCAGTAGTTACTCTAATGATTAAGCCTGGGTCTACAGCTGAAAGAGCAGGTTTTGTGGTAGCTAGATCTAGTGTGGCATGGAGTTTACTGAGTCTTAGCAGGTCATCAGCTTGCTTAGATGGGATGAGGATCCTAGTTTCATGGTGTCATCCGGGAGCACAAATGCAATAACCTTTACCTTATTTAGCTTTATTTATCCTAGAAACAAAACTCTTGTATTTGCTTACATTTTAAAAATTTCTCTGGCAATGTGAAGGCAGAAGGTTGCCTTTTGGGCACATACATGCTCCTCATGAAAAAGAGGAATAGCACAGTCATTTAGGAACAGGGAGCAAATCTATTTCTTTTAGACAAGCTCAATTTATTTATTTTTACATTTACACTGCAGTTTTGGGCAGCATATGTGCCTTCAGGATGAACTGTAAAACCTCTGTTCTGCCCTTTATCCAATCTCAACCTTTTAAATTTAATGCCCCTCAGTGTGAGCTGCATTAGAGTCCTGTAGAGAGCTTGTGATGACAAAGCATGAAAAGTGCTGCTGCTATCAGGGATGCTTTAATGCACTGGAGAGCAATGTTACTGCTTTTTGTGGTGGGATGAGTCTTATTTTTTACCTTATACCTGGGAATTGCTTACCTTTCTTGTAAGCTGTAGAGCTGAAACCCACAAATGCTTCTGAAGGAGAAACTGTGCTCATGTTCGACTTTGGTTGAAGCTCTGCTTTGCAGTATAGTATATTTTATGGAGGGGAAACTGTTGCTTTTTAGAGGGAAACCCACATTAAGCTGATTCTGCTTACTTGCATATTGAGAGTTCTTCTGTCCATCTTCAAGGACATTCAGTTCACCAGTGCCCACTAGTGCCAACTAACTTAGCAGGCCCTGTTGCATCTGCTCTGAAGTAGAGGCAAATATTGCCAGTCAAAGGTATTTCAGCAGCAATGGCACTCAGTGGGTTGGCGAGAGGTAGGATGATGATGGGAAATAATAGAACAATTCTTTTCATTCCTTGCCTGTACAGTGAGTGGGTATTTGTCAGGCCTTATGGACATACATAGGCTTTTGTTCTGGTGCTAATAATAAATAGAGTTCACAGCTCTGAGTTGTCAGGACGATGTGGCGAGAAGTGGGTCAAGACCATTCGTGTGTGCATAACTGCACTCCTAATCTAGGCCAGTGCCTGTGCTGGATGCTTCTAAACAAGCTGAAAAGATTTCAGGGAAGCTGGAGTTTATGCTGTCAGCTGGATGAAGTGCACCTCTAGCTGAGTGGAGCACTTAAGGACAGGGATCAGAATGGATGGTCTGGAGTAGCTTTGCATGTTAGGACCACAGAGGTACAGCTTTACTGTTTAGTACCTCTGAAGAGCTGGAAGTTTAGTTTGAGCCATAGGAAATTTTCTTCTTTCTGGCGGGGCAACTTGCTGAGCAGCCTTTCAAATGTGTGCACTGCTCTGCTGTTTCCTCTGAAATATGTCTCTGCTACCTCAGTTTCCTCTGAAGTGTCACTGGGGACAAAGGTGATTTGCTCAATGTTGCACTGCATTGCTGCAATGTCCTTCAGACTTGCTGTGGTAGATGAGCTCCTTGGTCCACTTCAAGGAAGAGTAGGGGCTCACCCTGAGGTGCAGTTAGGGACTTGGCTGCTGGAAGAAGAAGAAAGACAACTTCCATGCGAAGCCACTGGGATTTGTGGTGTTAATTTTTGGAGAGAATAGGGGGGACTTTGATTGGGTTATGATTTCTTTTATGATACTACAATTGGGTTTTTTTTTTTCAATCCTAGAACTTTGAGGTTACTTGTCCTTGAGGATGAGCTCTGACATATAATGCAAGCTGTAATACACATTTTAACTCTCAAAATACCTGGCACATCACTGCTGCTCACTGAAAACAGTCTGTCAGAAATCTGTATCCAGGTTTGGGTGACAATGGAGGAAAGGATAGGGAAAGAGTCATGGTAGTATTGGGATTTCTTGGCTGGGAGGTGGTGCTTTGGTACTTCTAAAAGTAAACAACCTTTTTCTTCCAAGCCTCAAGTATATTTGAGGCCAAATGTAATGTGCAGAAGCAAACGGGAATGTACCTGATGTCTCGGGTGTGTAGGCAGCGGGCTTTGCCAGGCAAAGAGATGACCTTTCAAAGGTGAGCATGGCTTGCCTTCCACTGTCCCATCATCCTCCTGTGTCCTTTGTCATACTGAGCAGTGCAGTGATACAATACCTGATTAGAAGTGTTCAGGAGCAGGGAGTCCGGTGTATTCTGGAAGGAAGCCCTGGCTGTGCAAGGGCTTGTCCTTGTGTGCTGTTTGTTACCACAGATGGCAACTGTGGGAGCAGGGTGGCTCTCCAAAGGCAGTCTTGGCATGCCTGTTACTCTTCATTGATCTGTTTGTTCTTTCAAGTACGAGAAGGCTGAACAAGTCATAAAACTCTTACGCAAAATATAAGCAAACATATTCTTCCTTTTTCAGAAAATACCTTAAAAGCTAGCTGTAGAATTAAAAATATTCAATGTCTCTGAAGAGCAGAAAGCGTTTTCCTCTTGGTGTGAAGCTGCATCCCATCGAAGAGTCTCAAAAAATATTTTTCTGAAGTTTAGCAACAAGAAAGCCAGCCCTGAAGCTTGTTATGAAGACTGGAGTTTGTGAATGTCTGTGCCAGTCAGTCTCAAGTGAAGGATTTAGTTTAAAAGGCTGAAGCACGTTACAGATGCCACTGGATCAAAACCCTCTTTTGGGGAAGTTCAAATCTGAGTTCATGGGCCTCTTGCTTTCTCTGTAGTTAGTGAATCATGAAACAACAAAAAGAGGGAAAAGTTGAAGGCATCAGCTGGTTGTGTTAGATGCTACATCCTTTTCATAGTCATGCAGAAGTGCTGAACCTTCAAAGTGCAATGACTGATTATATATTTTTTTTTAATGTAGTGTGTAAACAGAATAATATAAATTTCCTTGCTTGAGAGTGTGAGGACAAGTCAGCACATGAAGTTGGAAAATAAGTGTGCCAAGTATTGTTTTGTTTTCCAGTTGCCTAAGGGCCCTTCCTGCCTAGCACTGTCCTAAAGAGACAGTCTCTACCCTGAGGAATTTGCAGTTTAAATAAGGAAAAGTGTGTGAATAGATATTGAGGACACAGAAGGTGAAGCATGTTGGTGTGGGTTGGGTTTTTTTGTGACACCTGCTCAGTAGTTTTGAGAGTTGAAATAGAAAAATTTTTCTTGCATCAGAGATCAGTTTGCACTGAATGCAGCTGCTTTGCTGGAGAGACGGCTTTTTAGTGAAACTTCCAGTGTATCTTTATGTATCTATATAAAGGTGCTTCATTGCTCATGTTTATTGCACTGCAGGAAGAAATTTTGACACTGTAAGCTGTCCCATAGGGATCTATACAATTTCCAGATAGTTAGGTCTACTTTTTCTCTGTAGAAGCACTAAAAAGGTATCTCCTCAACCTTGTTACCTATTTCCAGGTAACTAATAGGATTAACAGATCCAAGACGACGTGTTCCTTTAGCTAAATGTAATCCATTTGCCAGCTTCAGCCAAAAATATTGCAAGGAGAAGCACAGGCCTACATAGTAAATCTTATTTTCAAAGAAAACGAGGCTTAATAAAAGTTGCACCAGTGCTTTTTTTTCTCTAGAAAATTTCTGCAACTGCTGTCACTTTAATTGTGAAGTCTTAGACAACTCTAAAAATTGGGGGCCAGTTTGAAATGCAGAGTCAAAGGTCAGCCAGGTCAGGGATACTGAGACAGCTTTTTAAAGAAATGGGGTGAAGAATTTGAAAAGAGAGTAATGTATTTAAAACCTGGAGGACCTCTTATGCTGTAGCCATATGGATACCTAAGTAGCTAAATTTTCTGCTCAAATTGTAATTCCTGTGTCTGTCTAGTCTCTTCCTAATCCACTGCCATGATTTCCTATGGCTGAGTAGTTCTTCCTTCCCTCAAAGCTGTCACAGAGTTGGTAGCACGGGATGACTGCAGGCAGCATCTGCCAGGGAGAGGCTCTTACTTCTGTGGTGCTGAGGCTGTGGTCTGCTCAGTGTGGGCTGGACACAGCTTTGCCCCAGAAGGATGCCCAGGTTTACAATGTTATGCTAATTAAGGTCTGGGTGTCTGCTGTACATAATTTTTAATTGCTGAAGCATCCTCATATCAGCTTTCACCAAAGTTGTTCTTTGAATCATTTTTTTTCCCTTCCTTTGCCTCAGAATTATGCAAGAAAAGGAAACTCTGGTTCCTGAAGCACAATACTGTCACCTGTTTTACTGTCCTGTGGATTTTTATTTTTGTACTGATGGAAGGCTTTGTTTAAATGTTTAATTCTTTTGACTGCCAGCATCTGGTAGCATACAGAGGGAGGGCTACATGTGTAATGCCTGTTCTGTGCACCGAAAGGCAAGAGTTTAGAATGAACTTTGAAGTAGAGGAGTGTGTGTTTTCGAAGAGTTTATTCCTTTCACCATTGAAATTGAATTAATAAAGAGTCCCATCAAATTTGGCATAGCGTGCATTGATAAAATGGTACTTTGTTAAATAACTGCTTTAAGGGATCATTCCAAACCCTTCCTCCCATTTTAGTATTGGATATTAATCTCCCTATTGCAAGTAACATCAGCACTTGTAGAATTAAGAATTAAAGTTTGAGCCGGTGGTGAGTTCTTTTATTCCTATTTTATCTCTAATGATGAAGAAGCCTCAGCTGATTTCCCGTTCAGGTTTAATGCTTCACAAAGCTTGAGATTCATCTTTATTTTGTCTCCAAAATTTCACTTGTGTTTAGGGTATTTCCTCTTCCTAATAGGAAGCTGATTAATTGGTTGCTAAAACAGCCACAGATGCAGTGAATTTACTCCCTAAGTGCATACACACCAGATTACGCATACTGGTCAACAAAACATTGAATAGCACAGTGAACTTATCACTGTAAAAGAAATGACATAAGGAGCTCGTATTCCTCTGGGTATTTTCCCCCAGGAAGGGGACTGGAAAAAAAGTCTGCACACTAAAAAAAACTTAAGATTAAATGTCTTTGTAATCAATATACTTGTGTGGTGGGTTTTTTTGCTTGTTTGTTAGGATGCCATGAACTGAGCTCAGAGTATCATGGCTTGCTAAATGGGAGGCTTTAGAAGTGTGCTGTAGGAAATGGTCTCCCTGAGGAAGGAAAGGATATGAGAGCTCAACAAGCCATTTACAATCATTCTGGTTAATGTGGTTAAAATAGGTAATTTTTGCGTAGAATTTTAGAGTGGTATATTTGAAAAACTGACTGTGTCAGGGTAAACAAATCATTCCAATATCTATTTAAAGTACATAAATATTTATTATTGTCCTTCTTTTACAGATTGAGGAACAAAGGCTGAATTGACTTGCCTACAGCTATAACTAATTAATACAAGGATAGAATTTGAACTTGGGACTTTGAACCAAGAGAAGAATAAACAGATGAAACACTGCAAATGGAAACATAATGAACAGATAATATAAACTTTATATTTCAAGCATAAACTACTACCCTAATACAGAAATCATCTTTTTGTAATTGCCTTTAGGCAAGTAGGCAGCCTAAAAAGCTGCTTCTTACTGAAAACATGAACTGGTTAGACCAGATCATTACCTTACTTGCCAGTTTTGTCTGTGCTGCATTACCCCCATTAAGCTTGTTGCTTCTGAGAAAATTCCTAAAGACAAATTGGAATTAAAATTAAATTTTCAAATAACTGAAGTTCATATAAAGAGAACCAGGCAAATTACACTTCATCTTGAAAAGCTGCAGCAAAATCATGTTAGAGATTTCCTTTACTTATCTCCCACATAGATTATTGGTGTGAGTCACTCAGAGCACTTGTAGGAAATGTGGGAATGGAGCTGACTCAAAGACAAGTGATTGGCATCATTTTATGGGATGTCACCAACTGCAGCTTCATTAAATGGCATTTTTTTCTCTGTCTTGGTCAAATGTTAATTTTTATTGCAGTTTAGTCTGAGCATAGCATAAATGTGTTTTTTGGTTTTGGCAAGTTCTCTGGATCTCAAGGGCCGTCATCTTTACTTTTTTGATGTAAAGGACAATGGATCTCAAAGCACAGTTTTCCCTTGCTTCTCTAAGTTGCATTCTGTTGGGGTGGTAGCACTCACACAGTTGCTGCCCTACTTCAGTTTTGTGCATTCTGGGAGAACAGTGCAGTCCTGTAACAAGATTTGGGATTTGCCCCCCCCTTTCTGGAAATTCCTTTGGAAATAATTTTGGAAAGAATTTAATGAATTGCAGTATCTAGCATTTTCAGTCAATGCCTTTGTGTCACTGATGAAAATTGAGAGGTAGGAAGTTTTTAGTGGCATTTCTGTATAACTTTAAGCAACTTCAGACTTTCATAATGAAAATTTTTCGTTTCTAAGCTGGCCAAGTTAAAAAGCAAAGAGAAATTCTCTTAGTATTCTGGGCTTCTAAATGTCTTCTGGACTGGATGTTGTTTGAATTGAGTTTCTTTGCCTTAACTGTCTTGTTTGCTCTGCTGTTTGTGATTCATTTGAATGTGAACTAGCCAGCACTTGAATAATGGAAAACCTAAAGTAAATAAGTGACAGTGCATGCTAGAGAATCAAAAGGCCCTACAATGAGCCGTGGTGCTCTTCAGAACAATTTAAATATCTTTCTGTAAACAAACTGTTGAATGAAGAGTGGTTGAATGGAAGCTGAAAAGCTTGACTCATTCAAGTTTGGGACATTGAAAGTCTAGACTAGATTTAAGTGTTATTACTTTGAAGTCCTTAGAAGAGGGGTAGAAGAATGTTTTTAAAAGGGCTTTCTTTACCTTTGCATAGGGTTTATAATTTAATCTAGGGTTTGGAGGATTAAACTGGGTTTATTCTCATTGTGGCAGAGTTAGACCTTGTTACATTGTCCCATGCAGGACAATTTGTTAAAGGTTAGTAGTTTGTCTCTTTTCCCCTAAAGTGAAAGATGCTTTAGATTGTAGATGCCAATTCTGTAAATAACAAACAACAGGAAATTTGTAGAATGACTGAAAGCGGTTTTTGAACATGACTTAAGTTTCAGATTCTTTCATCATATTGGTGTGTTTTTCCTAATAGAAGAGGTCTTTGTATTTTAACCAGAAGCCAGAACTGTCCTACAGAACACCTACTTTCAGAAGGAATGCAGGCAGGTAGGTAGGTTACATTAGAGCTGATCGTTTCTTCATCTTCATGTTTGATAAATTTTGACAGAAAGTGGGTCAGACTATAATACTAGCCTGGAAAGAAAATGAAATGTGAGATAACTTCAACAACTACAAAAAAAGGCTGGTACCATATGTTTGTACCATACGTATTTCTGCTACTGCCTGAAGCTGTAAACTTTCTAGCTGATCTGCACGAGATAAGCTTGCATGAATCTTTCACTCCATCATCACATATTTGACCTCTTTTGTGTTGCATAACTACATCCCTTTGTCATGCAGTTCACGTGTGGTCAGTGTGGGGATCCTCTAGTTTTGCCTTCCTAAACCTTGGTTTTGTTTTTCTGACAATTAATTTCCTGTTGATTCAAATTCAAAAGTTTGTTTGCTTTTTTTTTGCTTTTAACATTCTTCCAAAGGCTGTTACTTGTGTTGTCTCTGAAAGCCTGTCAGAACCTGGACTCCTGGCTGAAGTCCTTCATTGCTCAGCCACCGGTTTACATTGTAGGAGAGCTTCGTGAAGGCTTCAGACCCTTTAAAACCTTCAAACCCTTTAAAAATTCAGCTGAAACCAGCCAAAAGTTATGAGGAGGGGTGCAAGTGCACACTTAAAATATCACACAAGAAATCCAAGAAGGTTGTTTAATTTAAATTCTTAACTTCTTAAAATCTTGACCTGGCCCTTTATTTGCTCCTTGGTTATGGCACAGTCTCTCTGGAGAGACTGTGTGTTCTGCTGTGCTTTTGCAGCTTAACTTTGTACCAAGGGAAGTCCCTGTGGTGACTCTCGCAGTCTGGTTTTGCTAGAGCCATACTGATTTCACTAAGATATGGGCATCAGAATAGTGTCCTAGAGTTGTCCTACTTCTTGTGTGAATGCTTTACAACATGGTTGCTACCTTTTTAGAAAGGCTGTTGTGCAAGCAAACCACACCGATTTCCTTCAGCATTGTTTAACTGCCAACTCGTGGGTAGACGAGATGGGGAACAGTAGATGTGCTTTCGTTCTTGCTGACTTTCTGACCAATGAACCATATTAAATTTTGTAAAGCTGAAGGTGGGAAAAACCCCAATATATTTCAGTCCCCTCCTTTGGTTACAAAAATAAAGGGTAATGTTAATTTATCACTCCCCTCTCAAAGCTTTCTGTAACTGCATGAGCTACTCGGTTAATTCAATGACATGTGCAACACAAAGGATTGAAAATTGGAATGGATCAGAAACTCCTATTATTTCAAATTGTAATGTAGTTGTAAACTGGCTTCAGGCCTTTGAGTTGAAAGATTAAAAATTGATTACAACGTGCTGCTGGGTTGTATCACAGAGAGATAAAAGTTGATTTTACATGAAGTGGAAACTTAGACACACAAGTGTGGAACTCAGTAAGCCCACGGTGAGTATATGTTGGCTGCCTTTTTTTTACAGTCGCAGATTATATCATAAAGCAATTTATTTGTATCAGTGGCCTGTCACATCATGTAGGATCAATCTTTGCTTAAATAGGGAATACTTATTAAGGAAAGCTGCTGCAGACCAGAGCTTGCATTCTAGCGTTGTTATCTCTGCGGGCCAATAACCACATGTTTTATCTGGTATTCTTCCCAGTGCACGAACATGCCTAGTGAGTAACACATGAAAACCAAATATAACAAGGGTTGATACATTTGGCCGACTTGCAGACTATAAGGATCTCATTATTTTTTCCTACTTCCTGCCTTTGTTTTTTTTATTTGAAATTTATCTGTTTAATACAGCATTTTGCCTTAGCAGCCTAGGCAAGGTCCTTGCCCATTTCATCTGCAAATTAGTCTTTCTATGGATATGACTATGTTGAATGTTGAATTTGATTGTTATTTATTTATATTTGTAGTAGCTCTTTTTATTTGTCTCTTGCAGGAAGTTACATAGTTATTTTTTCTTTTCATTTTGTTTTGTACATAAAGGAAGGCTAAGGATCACACTGTACAGGGAGAAAAAGGTAGGAGGATGTCAGAAAGGTACCAACCACTTACTAATATCAATAAAACTTTAATTAACTAAATGCTCTGTCTGGCCTCTTTCCCATGTAATATATAAAAATCAGAGAGACTCTCCTAAGTCATTATTACTGGTTATCAAAAATACTTACATTTCCCTTTACATTTCCATCCCACAGTGAAGCTGAAGAAGAATTGCCTAGCAAGTCTCAATATGCAAAGAAATCTTGGTTATTCAGCTTATGCGTTTCCCTACATTTACATGCTTGCACTGGTGTGCTAAAGAGTTGCCTTTATCAAGCCAATCCATATTTAAAACCTTTGTACCTGCAAAAAGTATGAGTTCCACACCAGGATTCCTGCTGACATTCTTGTAAGGTCTGTCCAAGGTTTGTAGAATCACAGAAAGGTTTGTGTTGGAAGGGACCTTAAAGATCATCTCATTCCAACCTCCTGCCATGGGCAGGGACACCTTCCACAAGCCCCATCCAGCCTGGCCTTGAACACTTCCAGGGTTGTCTCAATTTACTGCAGTATCCAGGATGCCACCTGCAGAATTCTTGGGAGAGAAAAACTCCTGTTCAGCAAAACCTGTGCCTTGCCTCCTCCTGTACCATTAACCTGGTTCCTGTTGACGTAAGGTCTTCATGTGAAGGGAGTAACTCAGGATTTAAACTGTCTGAGCAGGAATTGGGCAGCTGGGCTTTCAGTGCAGATGGCGACTCATCTTTCCTCCCCCAGGAGGAATGAACCTCCCTGCTCCAAACTTCTGTGAGGTTTTTGATAATTCTCATCTTTTTCTGCTGGCGACCAGTAACAGCCTGCCCCCTTCTCCAGAAGTGATTGAACCAGTATTGGTGCTAACTGCAAGTGGATGTCCTTAGGCTTGCAGTTACAGTCATGAGTAATGAGGGAAACAACAACTCTGCCTGCCTTGCTTTAATTTTTGTTCTTGTATCTCCTGGTTTTTGTCTCTAATCTTCGGGCTCAGACAATGAATGAGGTTTAACTGCGGGTCCTAACACTGAGCTGATTATGCACAGATCTGCAGGTCAGATGTTAAGCTGTCAGAAGGGAGACTTGCTGTGCTGCCTGAGATGAAGTGGTGTCTTCTTAGATCCATATCCGACAAACCAGGAGTTATTGTGGCCTCCCAGAGCCCAGTGGTCCCTGGGTGCCATCCTGTGTGTACCACAGGAGGGGAGAGTACAGAGACAACATCTGCACTGTTATAAGTGCAGCCCTGGTACCAGATGTGAGCTGGGACTCCTGTTGGCTACACCTTTGATGTGACTGTCCCCTAGTCACCCTCCTGTGGGCTGATGCTGTGGGATTGTGGTGCCCTCTTTCCAAAGGGTCACGTTCATCACCTACTGCAGGAACCAGTGGGACTGTACTTGGGTTGCCCTTGTGCAGTGTGGGTTCTGGTGGCCAGGGATGAACTCCAGGGAGTGTTACCTACCACTGAGCCTGGCCCAAGAGGGCTTCTTGATTGCCCATTTCCCATAAATTGCAGATGCTGTCAGAGAGTCTCCTGGCTCGGCTTTTTCTTGGCAGTGTTGTTGCAAGAAAGCATTTTTAATAGTTGCTTTTCACCATCAAAATGATTATTCTACCATGAATCAGAGCTGACTTAGATGCAGGTGAAACATGACTCCCTAAGCTGAGGTGTCTCAGCCAGACCCCCAGAGCAGTTGAGCTTATGGCACATGAGCTGCCTTACATCATCCCTGTGTCCCTGTGGGGGGGTTTGCCACAGCTGATAGCAGCCTCTTGTGACAGCCTGCACAGGGTGAGGGAAATCCACTCCCTACAGATGGAGAGATCTGGTGACCACAAGTGGGATTCTCTGTTGAGAGCTCAGACTTCCCAGGGCTGCTCCTTGAGGCACAGGAAAATCCATCATTTTCTTCCAGCCCATTTTTTTTAGTTCCTGGTTCACCACTCAAGTTAAATTTCCTTTAATGTGCTCTTTACGTTTTCAGCTTTAAAAATGTGGGAAAGGCTCTCCCATGGCAGGCTGTATTATGGTGCAAGTAACTATTTCAGAGCTGGCCCCTGCACTGCGTCTTGCCCTCTCATCTGTCATCAGTTCCCTCCTGTGTTTTGTGAAGTTTTTGCTTTGCTCCTGACTGTGGCACAGCAAAAAGTGAGCTCATGGGGAGCTCAAATTACTGTTGAACCAGTCCTGATCTGTTTAATGGAAACCTTCCTTCTCCAAACCCTTTTGCACTCCTTTTACTTAAGTCATAAAAATTCTTCTGTTTGAACTTTATGAAAACAAACCAAAACCCTCTCTGTGTTACAAAACACTTTGGTTCCTTTCCCTGGTTTTGTTTCGCATTTTTTGCTGAACTGCTGCTGGAGGAGCGTCTTGGGGTAAAAAGACACTGCTTCTTAGCCAAACAATTTAAATTTTTCATCAAGGGAGATGTATAACCAAACTCTTTGTGAAATGAGTTAACCATCCATTCCAGCTCAAAGCTTTAAATAGGAAGCGTGCATCATTTCAAAAGCCAGGAGAATTTGGACATGATAGGGTGCGGACGAAATAGTACTTCAGCAGCTGTGAACATAAAGGAAAACGTCTGACTGGTTCTGGCAAAAGCTGGCATAAATTTGTACTTTCGGGTGTATGTGTGTGCATCTGAGCTCGTGAGACAGTGAATTTTTGCATGTTACACTGAGTGGTATGTGAGCATCAACCCATATTTACAAAATTCCGTGGTAAGTGTCTTTTAGTATTTTTTCCTGAGGCAGAGATGTGCCAGGATCTATTTTAGACCTTGTTAAAGTAAATTCCATCTCTCCTTTTGTATTCTACTTCTGCTTTTTGGCTTTCTATGCTACTGGCTAATCTGTTAGAGATGCTTAGGTTTAAAGGGATCTCAGTTGCACAGTCATTCATGTGAAGAAAAAAATAAATTGTATTTACTTCTGGGTTTTTTCTCTGAACTCCTTGTTATTCTTGGTTTTTTTGAGATGGTGTGATATTGTCTAAGTTATTTTGGC